GATAATTTGGCTCAGATTTTACTCAGCTTAGTATGTAGACACAGTGATCATCTTTTAAAAAATGTTTTATCCAAGAATATAACAAAGGGTGAACTTGGCCTAGTGTCCTTTCAAGCTGCCATGTTTCTTCCTATAATTGTATTGTTTCTTTCAACCATTCTTCTCTTACTCAACAAGGATTAATATTAAAAAAAAAAAACTGCAAATGTGGAAAAAGTAGTTAATGGCCAAGTTCAAACTGGAGAAGATGGCCAGTGTGGGGAGATCTTCCTTTTAGTGTGCCCTTCACTGAATATAAAAGAATTCACACTAAGAAAAACTGTGAAGGCATGGGGAAAGCTGTAGCTGTGGGCTGTCCCCTTCCATCTGAGGAAGCTCTCCAGAAGGAAAATCTGTTCGTACACATTTGCAACACCCACAGAGCCATACTAGAGAGGAAGTTTCTATGAAGGGCATCCTTGAGGAAGTCTTCAAGCTGGAATCTTTTTGTATTTGCTAACAAAACCCACATGGGAGGGAAACCCTTTCATCACAAGAAACTGAGGACCGATATGAAAAGGAATCACCAATGGGAGATATATAGATGGAAAAGGGCTAGATGAAGAACTCACACAAGACTGAATGAAGATACATATGTATTAACTCACTCACCAGCTCCATATACTGTCTCTAGAGGCCACACATCATGTTAAGGCACTGGGTTTACTGAGGTAATTCTGAATGGACAGGCCCTTAGTTTACATGTGGAAAGAAATAGTGAGGAGGAGATGCGTTAGAAAGAGATGGAGTTAGAAGAGGTTGAACATGCCGGGCGGTGATGGCGCACGCCTGTAATCCCAGCACTCGGGAGGCAGAGCCAGGTGGATCTCTATGAGTTCGAGGCCAGCCTGGTCTACAGAGCGAGATCCAGGACAGGCACCACAACTACACAGAGAAACCCTGTCTCAAAAAAACCAAAAAACCAAAAAAAAAAAAAAAGGACGGTGAACGTGATAAAAATACATTGTATCTAATTCCTAAAGAATTAATAGATATGTATTTTTAAAAGTAATCTGCAAAAGGATGTTTTTGTGACATATCAATGAAAAACATCACTGAAACCAAGATATATAGATATATGCACTCTGCTGTGTTTAATGCAGTATATCACTGTTTGGATCTTAGATGTCCCTCATAGGTTTTGAAGGATTAGACCCCAGCTGATGGTAAGGAGCCAGGGCTTAATGGGAGGATGCTAGGCTTCTGGGGACATTTACCTGAAGGTGTGGGAAAATCTACCCATGTTTTCCTTCCTGACCACCACAGGACCAGGCACAACAAAGCCTGATTCGAACTTAAACTGATTTGAACTGATCACGAACTGAAACTTCTGAAACCAGAAGCCAAATCAAACTTTGCCTCAACTTAACTTTCCAAGGTATTTTGTCAGAGCAATGGAAAGCTAAAACAGAATCTTTGTATGACAATACTACCTTATGCTAAAATCATATACAAATTTGATGTGCTAACAATGTTTTAAAATAATATTCTGAGCAGTTATTGAAAATGAGATCTGGGTATTTTGTTGATGCAACTAACAAGTAAAACATACTGAAGCTTCAGATACATGAAAATACCTTACCTTGGTTACTACAGGATAACATAAAAAATGCTTTTATATAAAGTGCTAAGTTGGGGCTGGAGAGATGGCTCCACTATTAAGAGAATTGCCTACTCTTCCAGAGGACTTGGGTTCGATTCCCAACATCTATATGGTGGCTCACAACCATCTATTAACTCCAGTTCCAGGGTATCCAACACCTTCTTCTGGCCTCTGTGAGCACTGTACTCACTGTATAGTACATACATATACATGCAGAAAAAAAGCACCTATACACATAAAAATTTAAAAAAAAACTTAAAAGCTAAGTTATAATCAAGTTACATATACCCTGTCTTACCATAAATAAACATTACTGGCAAGGTGGAGTTAGCTTCTGAGATACTTGGCCTGATACAGTCTTCCTACCATAAGCATGGCATTAAAAGTTGGAGAAAAAAAAAAAAGATAGACATTATTTTTACCCAACCAATTTTAATGGTAAATTTACAAGTCTTTATGTTTATCAGTACTGTAACCAAAAGGAGTGAAGGAGGAACTAAGGATAGGCTAGGGAGAAGTTAAGAGTACAAGAATGCTACAACATATTAAGAACACAATTTGCTAGGCCACAGAGGAAAATTCTTCAAACTCCCTTTTTCAACCAATATTTCAGGAATGTCAGTCAAAGTTTAACTTTTATAGAACTTTTCCTTCTTTAGAAAAACACCATAGTTTGCCAGAAACTCTTATATATCTTTATCTTCAAACTTCATGTCATTACAACCAACTTGTTTAGGATGCATACTTTCTTGAGCAAAAAAACAGCAATACCCAAGAACACACTGGAAATCAGCTCACAATAGGCAAGCAGCAGATCCAGGCAGGATGCATCATGGCCATTCAGTGTGGTCCAGCATGCAATGTTTAGCAGAAGCTCTTTGGGGGCACTGCAAATGGACATACTCTTCCTACAAAAGGGACTCACAAGGCAGGTATTTTCCTAAATGTCTTAAAAAGTTGTATCACAGGGGATGTATGTTTTAAGGCTGTAAAACATCTAGTATTCTGTCAGCTGCTGTTATTTTGGATTCATCTATTTTTAAGCAATGCTGAAAAATTACAAACTTTATGCAACATTGTAGACGTCGATGAGAGCTCACAAACTCGGTTTTAATAACAGGTGCTCATTTTAGCTCTTCTGTAGTCAGCGAAACCTGTTAAGTGAAATTTCACCACCACAAAAGCAAGCAAACAACAAAAGACTGAGTGTGAGCATGAGGAGAGATGGCCACCAGGACATATTCTAGAGACAGCTACTTACTGATGTTCAGTTATTCCACAGTTAGCTTATTTCTAGAAAAGAGTAAAAGTGGTTCAGAACCATTCTTTAAGGATCCACATTATTTACACAAGTACATATTTACTTTGAAATTCCTTAGTTTTTGTCCTAAACTAATTAATAATCCATTGGTTTCATTTGGTTAGTTTGGATTTGGGGGATAGGTTCTTGGGTCTTTTTTTTTTTTTTTAACTGAAAGATTTTTCTCCTTGAAACAAAAAAATTTTGTGAATTTTTCAGGTCACCTTGATTGGGCTAGAGAACGGTTTGTTTGAAATGGGTCATTATCATGTTCTACTGTGGCATTTAAGACTTGCCCTCTGATATTTTAGAACTAAACATAATTCTAAACTTAATTCGTGCAAGGAAGTGAATGGAATTTGATAGACTAAAGCAGCTTTATTTGCTGTTCAGAGAAATCGGCCATTACTCTGACCTGATGAGACACTACCTCTTAATTTGACACTTCAAATCACAATTATTAGTATCTTTCCAAATACACTGAAGCTTACATTTAATCTTAAAAAAAAAAATCCTTTGAACAACGGCTGGGAGACTGGGAGGCTGGCTTAGCATTAATAGCATGTACCTCTCATGCACAGGGCTAGAGTTTGGTTCCAATCACCCACATCAGGCTCACAGTAGCCTGTAGCTTCAGAAGATTACATGTCCCCTTCTGACCGCTTCAGTCAACTGCACTTACGCACATACCACCACCACCCATACATATACATATTTTAACACAATTATTCTGAAGGTAAGACATCAGACACAAATGCTCTCCACCCACCATGGGTTAATTATCAGCTCACAGCATTCTGATATTGAGAAGTTTCATTTACTTCTTTCTACACTTTTCCTTCTTTGGAAAGTTTGAAAGTTTTCAAACATCATTTAAGAGTTAAATTTCAACAAAGAAAAAAGTATTCCAAACGTAATATACAAAACCACAAAACACCGTACTAGGATATCTCCAAATAAGTAGTTTGTAACGTGCCGATTCCTCTCCCCACCCCAGCCCACTCCTGACACACACATAAACCTCACCTACACAGGCCTGCATTCTCATGTGCTTTCTGTTCTCTACATCCTTTTTTACTTTTGACGCCTAAAGTAACTGAGATCAAGAAAAATGTCTGGCTGGGTATGGTGGTGTATACTACTTTAATCCCAGCACTTGAGAAGCAGAGGCAAGAGGATTCTCTGTGAGTTCCAGACCATCTTGGTCTATGTGGCAAGACACTGTCAAGAAAGGAGGGAGGGATGAGAGACGGAGAGGAGGAAAGACAGGCTGATGAGTACACTACCACACATGTATCCTAACTGATGCAATAGGACTCTTCACTAGAAATGACGCAGTAAGAAGGATTCATGGACAGGCTAAACTTTCATGTTCGAATATGAAATGCTACAGTGGTAAGGAATTGTGATTTTAACAAGCTCCTACCACTGAGATATCGGTCTACCCATCTCTCTACTTCTTGTACTCACTCTCTCTTGAACATGTGCACTACTGTTAAAACAATTCATTACAAAATGAGAACTATCTAATGTTAGAAAGTAGGCGAGTTTGAACAGAATCGTTTTCTATGACTAACCTGAGGCAAATAAGTGTGCATACAATCAGCGAAATAAATAACAGGTTTCCATCCTTTATTTTTGTCTTTTTTTTTCCCCCGTGAGAAAGGGTCACACTGTGTAACTGTGGCTGACCTGGAACTTTCTATGGAGACCAGACTGCCCTCATACACATCTGTCTGCATCTGCCTCCAAGTGCTGGAATTAAAGGCGTGTACTGCTAGCGCCAGCACACACAGCTCCGTCCTTTCCTTGTGAGATTGCACTGTCATTCAGACTGTGCCCACTCACTCTAGTCGTGAGGCTGGGAAGCCACATGACAAGCACTGACTGTGCTGGCGTCAGGCCCTGAAGTGCCACCAGCCTTGTCACTGAACTCCATCGCTCTCCTGCTACTTCATTTCATGCAGTGCCAACCCAACTGTCTTCCCAGTTGAAAAATAAGTATACAAAACCAACAGTGTCAGGCAGGTATTCGCAAGATCTGAATTTCTTAAAACGTAAGTCTGAGTATATTTATTTCTCTCAAATGCATACAAGACAATAATTACACAGCAACAAATCTTTTGTTCAACAGTGACTTGATTCATAAGCATTTAAAATTTACATAATTTCACATTGATACCCTTTTATTTTTAAATACAATAAGTAAAAAAGCCCCCCAAATAACCAATTTTTATATTTCCTATTTATCCTTCTATACATCCAAACTTTAAAAAGTTACAAACTGAACAATTGTACAGAACATATAAATCATGTTTAAAAACTTGAGGTTTTAAAATCACTGCTTCCCCAGTATGATTCAGAAAAATTCTCCTATTGACAAACACAGTCGTAGATGCCGAAGCAAACTGGAGGAGGGGAAGAAACAGACACAGGTTTGCTGTCTTAACATTTTACTAATCCTGTCCGTTAAAAATGGTGATGGAGTGAGAAGTAACAGCTGGGGTAATATGAGGACCGGAGTTTGCCTCGGCCAGAGACGTACATTTCAAGTATTTTCCTATTTGATCTGAGCTCACTTTAGCAAACTGATGCCAAAACGAATTATTTTCTCCCATACATCCGCTCAATGTCTGCCTGGTAGTGTGTTTTAAGCTCTTTGCGTTTCAACTTGAAGGCATCCGTCACCAGACCAGTTTCAGGAGTCCATGGGTCAGGGCTCAAACGAATTTTCACTGGAATTTCAAACTTTTCCAGACTTGCTGAGATGGTGAAAACAAAGGAAAACACAACAATAAGAATCCACACTCATTAGAAACAGAGTCAACGTTCTGAGCAACCAGTACAGTTCTTCGAGGCATACCCACCCAAACAAGCAACCCATCAGTATCAGTCTCACTTCTGAGCTTCAAACATATAAGTTTTTGACACATGGGGACTATAATAGAAAAAATCATTTAACAAATTAATTTATCCATAGGAGAATAAACTAAATAAATGATATAGGTGTTAATGGAAGGCAGTTCTGTCATTAAAACAATTGCGTTTATGTGGTTATCCAATCCATTACTGGGCTGGAAAAGTGCAGCACACAGCACTAACTAGACAGACAGACAAGAAGAGCACATACAGACTCACTGGACAGGGACACACACCAAACTACACCATGCACCTCCGGGAGCTGGAACCAAGGAGGAAGGACAAAGAAAATGAAAAATGACATCTGCAGGAAAATGAAAAGAACTAGACATTGTTGTGTCAAACACAACATGCTAGACTCAGAAAGGCAAGCATTACATGCTGCCTTCACATAACACGTAACGTCGTTTAAATTTCTATGTCTGTGCGTGTAGAACATGCAAGTGAGAAAGGGAGTGTGAGAGGAGAGAAAAAAGCCTGAAGTTGAAAAAGAAGGTGGTACAGGCTATGCATGACATTAAAGCAGAGGGGAATTATTTGGGAGGACTACAATCAAAAAGGAATAAGGGAGGGGAGCGATGTATAGTGAAGTGTATGTACAAACGTGTCACGACAACATTAATCTGCACGCTAAGTAGTAATAAAAGTATATCTTCTGGCTAAACTACTCCTGGGAAAATACAGACTTAAATGATTACAACTCAACATACCACAGAGACACACCTCAATGTTTACTGTTACAACAGTCAATACATGGATCCTGGCAGATACTATAGTGGGATACACCTCTAATCCAGAAAGACACAGACACAAAACTGGCCTAGATATCGTCAACAGATCAGCTTACATAGTGAGTTCAAGGTCAGCATAGGCTACACCCTATCTCAAAAACAAGCAAGTAAAGGAGAACAAAGACTGAAAAAACATTTGCAAAAGAAGACATACAGGCCAGCAAGTGCAATGAAACATAACCAATAATCATTAAAAATGGCAATCAAGCCATAAGAAGATTAACACCTGGAATCAAAAGAGCAATCAATAAGGCAGGGATATGGAAAAATTGGAATTCTTAAACACCAGTGGTTAAAAGGCATCATTTTGGAAAATCATATAGAAAATGATGAAATAATTTTAGAAAAAAAAGTCTGGCTACTCTTTAAAAGGAGTTATGAAAAGTTAACCTGGGATCCACTGCTTTCACTAACAGGTATGCACCAGGGAGGGAGAAAACATGTCCACATCAAAGCTGGAGTATGAATGGTCATATCAGCTCCACTTTCAAGAGCCAAAAGTGAGAAGGAAAATGTCCTTCTATCTATCCATCCACACAACTGACAATAAACGAGGCTGAGGACTGATCTATGCTACAACACGGATGGACTTTGAAAACATGTTCAAACGTCTACAATCCTGCAGGATGGCCCCACTAACATAAACATTCCCAAACTGGCCAGTCTGCCCAGACAGAATGTCTACTAGTGGTTTCCGAGGACAGGGAACTGAGAGGCTAAGGAACAGTGACTGCTAATGGGTAAGGATTTTTTCTGCGGGTAGAGGCGGGTGATGAAAATTGACTAGGGTAACAGTTGTACAAGCTGTTGAATGTAAAAACCATGTATTTATACGTATTAAATAGGCAAGTTGTATGGTACGCTCACTGCAGTGCAGTAAACTTGTTACATGTAAAAATAGGATTTTTTATTTACTTTTATTTATGTGTGTCTGTGTTTAAGTGCATGTAAGTACAAGTCCCTACACCAGAAAAGCATGTCAGATGCCCTAGAGCTGTGAACTGACCTCCATCCTCTGAGAGAGCAGCAAGCACTCTTTAACTGCTGAACCATCTCTTCAGACCCACTGGACAAGCCTTAATGTTTCCATATTCTACCTTGCTTAATAATGGTATATGTTTTAATGAATATTAATTAATAGTATTAATGTTGGATATAAACTAAGTCAATTTAGAATTAGTCCAAAGTTTTATATTACTAAAAAAATGTTAGAAACTATTTTCAAGTTCATAAATTCCAAAATATAATTACAGTTGAAATAATGGACCAAAATAATTACCTCATTTGGAAAATGCAAATTTAAATTTTTTAATATCATATCTAACAGATCCAGGTAAAAATAGAATGCAATGCTTGTGTGATATTTAGTATTTCACTTAGACACAGATGTTTATTACTGAACAAACATCAGTCTTTGACAGGAAGAAAAGGAGAGGCCTCTAGGCGGCTGTGAACAGTTGCCAGGAGCAGGAGCCACTCTCCAGTGGTGTGGCCACTAGTACAACACTCCTGCTCCTACAACTGCCCCTCATCCACACTCCTCTAAGACACCCTGATTACCTCACCTAGGAACTGAAGGACATCGTAGCATGTAGGAAAATGCCATGAGACTCATTATTACATATAATTAACATAAACTAATACAGATCTTTAAAATACAAAAAGAGGATATAGGACATCCCAGTATAACATACTGGTGACCTTTCACTGGGAACTACCACGCCCTGGAAACAGCAGGGCTCTGCAGAACAACAGAGGCAAGCAGAGAAGAGGCAAAGGCAGAACATAAAGGCTAAAAAGGATGAGAACAGCCAAGAGACTATAAATCCCAACTTGGCATTTCCTGATTGCGGTGCTTAATACTGTCCACTTAACAGGATCTAGAACCACCTGGAAAATGGGCCTCGAAGAATGCCTATGGGAGACTGTTAGAGAATATTATTTTAAGGTGTGTTATTTTTGTTTATGTTGCCTTTGTTTAACTCTGTGAAGCTGTGTTACTGTGCCTGTCTAAAACACCTGACTGTCTAATAAAGAGCTGAATGGTCAATAGCAAGGCAGGAGAAAGGATAGGCAGGGCTGGCAGGCAGAGAAAATAGAAGGAGAAATCTGGGAGGAAAGGAAGGAGCAAGATGTTAGGGGCCAGCCACCCAGCCACCATGGAGTAAGAGTGAAAGTAAGATTAGAGAAGTAAGAAAATGAAAAATCCCAAAGGTAAAAAGTAGATGGGATAATTAAAGTTAAGAAAAGCTGGCTAGAAATAAGCTAAGGCCGGACATTTATAATTATTAATAAGCCTCTGTGTGTGATTTATTTGGGAGCTGGGTGGTGGGTCCCCCAAAAGAGCAAAGAGTAAAAGAGCAAAAACCAAACAATAACAGGAGATTATCCTGATTAGGTTAACTCAAGTGGGAAGATCTGCCCACTATGAGTGGTACCATTCCCTACACAGCATAAAAAAGATGAAAGCTGGTTGAAAACCAACATTCACCTCTCTGCTTCCTGACTACGACATGGATGCAATGTGTCTGGTTTCCTCAAACTTCTGCCACCATAACCTCCCCACCACGATGGACTGAACTGTGAGCCAAAACAGACTTGCCCTTAAGTTGCTTTTAGCAGGGTATTTTATTACAGCAACAGAAAAGGAAGACACTAATTCCATATTATATATGTATTATAAAAGTGCCATGCACGCATTTTAAAAGAAAATTAGAAATTTTTTAAACTTATTTTAAAAAATCAGTTTAGGGCCAGGCGGTAGTGGCGCACGCCTTTAATCCCAGCACTTGGGAGGCAGAGCCAGGCGGATCTCTGTGAGTTCGAGGCCAGCCTGGACTACCAAGTGAGTTCCAGGAAAGGCGCAAAGCTACACAGAGAAACCCTGTCTCGAAAAACCAAAAAAAAAAAAAAAAAAAAATCAGTTTAGGGCCAGGCAGTGATGGCATACGCCTTTAATCCCAGCACTTTTGGGAAGCAGAGGTAGAAAGAGCTCTGTGATTTCAAGGACAGCCTGAACTACAGAGTGAGATGCAGGAGAGCCAGGGCTACACAGAGAAACTCTGTCTCAAAAAAAAAAAAAAAAAAAAAACAATAACAAACAAACAAAAATCAGTGTAGTTGAAGCAAATACTTGAATGTCCTGCAAAGAGGCCTGAAAAGGCTGCATTCCAGCCTTTATAACCTAACAGGTTAAATAAATGCATATTTTTTTTTCCACATTTCAGTTCTAAGAAATCAGTTTACCAGAACACTCACCTGAAATAGCAGCTTCAGAAAGTACTTTTAGGACCTCATTTTCCATCTCACTGCTATTACACAGCTCTTCCCAAGTCCCTTCAAATCCTTTCGTTCTAGCTAGCTCCGTGAGTTCCTTTTGATTTGGCACAACAAATCCAATTACGTAAGAATGGTAACTGAAACACAGAAAGGATAACTTAGAAAGGACCAAAATAGCATGCACCATGCTTACCAATGTAACCGATTACCTTGGCACTCTATAGCCAATGCTTTACTATCGGAAAAACTACAAACATACATTAAAAACTATCATCACACTTACCTCACGCAATGCCTCTCACAAACATACATTAAAAACTATCATCACACTTACCTCACGCAATGCCTCTCACAAACATACATTAAAAACTATCATCACACTTATCTCACGCAATGCCTCTCACAAACATATATTAAAAACTATCACACTTATCTCACGCAATGCCTCTCACAAACATACATTAAAAACTATCACACTTACCTCACGCAATGCCTCTCACAAACATACATTAAAAACTATCATCACACTTACCTCACACAATGCCTCTCACAAACATACATTAAAAACTATCATCACACTTATCTCATGCAATGCCTCTCACTACTCAGTAGTACACTTAAGAGCTCTGGCGGAGTTCACTGCAAGTAAACTTCATAAATTCTAAGTGTGCCTAAGTAATGTAATGTACACATTTTTAAAGGAAAATTAAATCTTTTCCCAATCCTTTGAAATGACCAGTAAATTCTTGGAAACAAGATAAGAAAAGTAAAACCTGTAAATTATGTTTCTGAAAAAATGTAGCAGCAAGTCAAAATCTTGTGATGAGCCAGGTATGGTGGAACATGCCTTTTATCCAAACACTCGGGAGGAAGAAGCAGGCAGTCTGATCTACAGAGTGAGTTCACGACACCCAGGGCTACACAGAGAAACCCTGCCTTGACAGAAGGGAAGGAAGGAGGGAGGGAGGAAAGAAAGGAGGGAGGGAGTCCAGCAAAGATGCTCATTTTCTTCTGATGAAGAATTTGTATTACCAAAGGAACTTGGTATGCACAAAGACAGGCATTGTTTTGAAAAACAGACAACAGCATTAAACAGTATGCTTGCTGAGCAGAAAGCCTGGGGACCCCACCCCAGAGAGGCTAAGGTAGAGGACTGCCATGAATTCAAAGTCAGCCTGAACCTGAAAATAACAGCATCATGAAGAATGGAAACATTTAGAGTTTTTTGTCTTATTTGTTTGTTTGTTTTTTTGAGACAGGGTTTCTTTGTGTAATAGTTCCGGCTGTCCTGGAACTCACTTTGTAAAGCAGGCTGGCCTGGAATTCAGAGATTCGCCTGCCTCTGCCTCCCTAGTACTGGGATTAAAGCGTGTGTCACTACTGCCAGGTTTGGAGTTATTCTTAAATAAATAAAACCCAGCTCTGAAACAATGCTGAAGGAAACAAACGGCTGATGACAGTGCAGAGTCACTGATGAGCCCATGTACTAACTGGTCAAGTCTAGACAAATATTTTAAGAATCCACCATCTTGGAATGGGTGTGGGAGTGCACACCATTAATTCCAGCAGCACTTGAGAGGCAGAGGCAGGTAGGTCAAGGGTGGACTGGACTACACAGTGAGTTCCAAGACAGTCAGGGCTATGTTGAGAGACCCTGTCTCAAAATCACAAAATCCACATCTCCAAAACCTGAAACATTTCTTGTCACAATTATTTCAGAAGACAACTAACTACTCCACCAGAAGCTCATCTACTACTTGGGGTACACGGCGGCGAGGTCTACTTCTAAGTTGATTTTCCTATGACACCCACGACTGTATCAACTGCTACAGGCAGGTGTCTAGGCTTACCCACCGATAAGCAACCATGATCACTGGAGAAGAACTGTCACTTAACTACAATTCTTTGTGACTTTGCAATTGTCACTGCATCACAATCTCCGTAACTTCTGCAGTCAGGTCTAGTCTCCATCACACTGCTCAACACAGCTCTAGGTTCCTAAACGTAAACTTCCTTCCCTGCTGCCAGTGCGACCATGGGCTGTGAGGCTGTGAGGCTGTGAGGCTGTGAGGCTGTGAGGCTGTGAGGCTGTGAGGCTGTGGTTAGCCTCGGCCAGAAGTCAGGGAGAAGGAAAGGCGGGTCTGCGGGAAGACCCTGCTTATTCCCCTGGTCTCTGATTGGGTCTGCGAAGGAAAGGCGGGCCTGCGGGAAGACCCTGCTTATTCCCCTGGTCTCTGATTGGGTCTGCGAAGCTCCCATGTGCAGACAGATAGCTAGGTGTTGAGGCAGCAGCAGGAAGAAGAATTTATTTTCCTAAACTCTGTCACGCAGGACACTTACAGAGAGATGGGAAGCAGCGCACAAACACGGAAGATGAAGTGGAGAGCACCACAGGGAAGGAAGGAAGTGCCAGCTCACGAGCTGTGGGCCCATGAATCACAAGAGCTCCCAGAGTGATCTCACAAGCAGTTCATATGGGCTGCAACTGCTCATGGCACACTCATCAACTCCTATACACTCTGCCCAGACTCCATGTGCTTACCTGTTTGCATACGCACAGATGTTATCTATTAATGGGAGGTTCTTCAAAGCTGCCTCTACTTTCCCAAGAGAAACATACTCTCCTGCCTGTAGTTTCACAAGGTCCTTTTTACGATCTGCACAGAACAAAGGCAGAAACATTGAGAACAGTACTTAACACCTTAAGCACATAGAAATACTGTCACCGAGTTATTTAAAACTTTTCTCAACTAAGCATTGATGGTTGCCCTAAAGTTTACACTACATTAATAAAATCAGACCCTAATTTTCTACAGTTAAATAAATCCTTTAGTGGAAAAAGTTATACTTAAGGGACATCAACCTGAGGACTCCAATATATTCTACTGAGCCAATATGCTCCTGGCACTCGTGAGTACCCAGCAGGTAAAGCAGCCGTGCAAGGCAATGGGCAAACACATACTACCCAGAGAGAAAAGTAACACAAAAACAGCATTCCACCCAGCACAGCCAACCCGTGGATTGGAAGGAATTCTTACAAGTGGGGCCTGAGATGAGTTTACTGACAAGAGTAAGAAGTATCCAGGTGGAATAGCACTGGCAAGGGCCATGTCGGTGAATCATCACTAAAGCCTAAAAGAGGAGGGAAAGAATTCAAAAGAGGCAGGGAGGTGAATGATGGTTGTGTAAAGACACATCTTGAAAGGAACTTCGAGCAGCCATTCAAGGTTTCTGAGAACAATGAGGTTTCGCCACTGCGTGATGGAAGTAAAAAGGGTTGGAGAGGTGCAGAGAGGCAGAAAGAAGTCCTTACAAGAGGGTGGCAGAAGGCAAAGGCCCAGCCTACAAGTGTGGAAAGACAGAAAGATTTTGAGGCACATCTCCGTAAGTTGTACATGAACTAGGGATGCAGAGCTGATGGAAAGGAAGCCTCTGATACCCTTCTGGGCTTCAAGTTATGACCAGGTGTTGTGCAGAAATTTCCTACAAGATAAAACATTCGATGAAACTTTCCATCCTGCAGGGAAGGGCCTCAAGACTCAGACGTTACAAAGGTAGGTTCACTTAGGAAGTAATGCAAAAGCTCTATGACAGTTCTCAACTTGTGGGTCGCGACCCCTTGGGGGGGTCAAACAACCCTTTCACGGAGGTTGCATGAGACCATCAGAAAACAGATATTTACATTATGGTTCATAACAGTAGCAAAACTTCAGTTATGAAGTAGCACTGGAATAATTTTATGGTTGGGGGTCACAACATGAGGAACTATATCAAAGGGTCACAGCATTAGGAAGGTTGAGAACCACTGCTCTGGGAAGTCACTGATACACTAGACTCTTCTCTCCTGAAGCTTATGTGAGCAGTAAAGGCTACTAAGAGACACTCTCAGATAAGCCAAGCTGCCCAGAAGAGGCTTAGGCCAACTGAGTTGCCAAGAAGACACTTCTTCAACTTGTCAATCTGCCAGCAAAGTCATGCAGGAAGCTCCTGAGTTCCAGCTGTTGTGAGCTCTCACTCATGCTAGGGTGGACCTCTGTTGATGCACCTGTTTTTGAGTCATTCCTGCTTCAGGTAAGTAATCCATCACCCATTCACCCACACTCCTTCCTCTAAGTCCAATAAAACTCCCTAGTACACTAACTTAGACTTTAGTGATATCAGTATCTACACAAACCATGGAGAATAACTAAGGTTAACTGACAATGATTACAAATCTGTGACTGAATGGCTTTTACAACCTCATCCAGAATGTGTCAAGCTTTAGGAACACTTGGTCCCTCTTTAAAATGTTGTATTTGGAGGATGATATAAGAGCCTGCCTCATTATTACAGAGATAAGCTCCTTCACTGTTAAAAAGTCTCTCTAAACACGGGCACCTCTTTGTAAAAGCATCTGAGAAATACTCACTTTCAATAAAGGATTCAGGGCCTGAGGATGGCTCAGCTGTTAAGACCATGTACTGCTCTGACAAAGGACATGTGTTTAATTCCCAGCACCCACATGGTGGCTCACAAACATCTGTAACTTCTGTTCCAGAGGATTTAACACCTTCTTCTAACCTCAGTGGACATTGTGCATACATACAGTGCACAAACATACATGTAGGCAAAACAGTCATCCATGTAATATAAAATAAGATAATCTAAAAAGGAAGGACGGACGAAATAAACTCACCAATAATCTTCAGACAACCATCAGGGTCAAACTCTCCAATGTCTCCAGTGCAGAGCCACCGCTGTCCATTTTCATCTTCAAAGAAATCAGTATTTGTTTTTGCTTCATTTTTGTAGTACCCCATTGTCACATTCTGGCCACCAATAAGGATTTCACCTCTGGGATGTGGTTTATCAGTATTAAAATAGCCACCTAAATAAACCATAGAGGTATTACAAAAAAATTCAAAACTATTAGTTTCAAAGTACACATCTTATTTTAACCAATTAGAGTCCCAAGAACAATGAAGTAGACACTGTGGCTAAACCTTATCAATAAGCTAGAGACAAACCTCAGTTGTTCAATAATAAGTAACCACGCTTTTAAGCTACTATTCCAAGAAAAAAGCACATTCTAAATTTCAGCATTCTCCACCTACTATGTAAAATAATTACAAAGTTTTAGGCAGGCAGTGGTGTCTTAAGCCTTTAATCCCAGCATTTCAGAGGCAGACACAGACAGATCTCTGTGAGTTCAAGGCTAGCCTGGGCTGCAGAATGAGTACCAGGACAGTCAGGGATGTTACACAAAGAAACCCTGTCTCAAAAAAAAAAAGGAATGAAGGGGGGAAAAATACAATAATTACAAAGTTTCTACTCAGTCCATTTATCATGCTAGCAAAATGATAAAAGAACTGCCAAATAATAAATAACAGAACAAATCCCTTCATAAAATCACACTATTATATACTTAGAAGTTTGTTCTTTCAGATAATTTCAGACCGATTCTGAGCTTAAACTTCATTGAATATTTTTCTAACTTCTGCAAAAAAGATGAGAAATTTTATAAGAGCCTTAGAATCTTTAGAAAGAAGGTGATGTCCCAATAAATCACAGATAATCTATATACTTTGATATGACACAAACATTTTACAATGATTTTTATTTTAAATAAACAAACTTAAAGAATTACAGTGCAATTTGTCCTTCAAAAAAACTTTGAAGCCCACAGGGAAAAGGAAAAATATAAAAATCCATATGAAATAAATGTGTTTTTTTTTCTTCTACAAAGTAAAATTATGACCACTCTTTTATATTAATCTCTCTCCCTCCTCCCCCCCCGCCCCACTGTGTGACTGTGTGTGTGTGTGTGTGTGCATATGTGTGCATACATAAACTGCAGCATATGTGTAAAGGTCAGAGAACAACTTTGTCACTTAATTCTATTTTACAACCATGTGGGTTCTAAGGACTGACCTCGGGTCTTGAGCTTTTACCTGATGAATCATCTTGTTGGCCCTCCTAACTTAGTAACACTATTCACTTAGCACAGTTCTCAAATCTCTGCTATCATTTTTACTTTATGTAATTTATGTAATAAAATGATAAGCAAGGACTGGGAAGACTGCCCAGTCAATAGAGAGCTTACTGTGCAAGTAGAAGACATGGGGTCAACTGCCAAAATCCTATTTAAAAAGCCATGCATGGTGCATAGGCTTGTCATCTCAGTCCTCAGGAGGCAGAGACAGATTCCTGGGGCTCACTGGCCGGCCAGTCTAGCCTAACCCACAGTCTCGGTTTCAGAAAATAAGGTAAACAAGTCTCCTGAGGAATGATACCCAAGATTGATATCTAGCCTCCACACACATGAACACACACACACACACACACACACACACACACACACACACACACACACACACAAATAGTAAGCAAAATAAAAATAATTCTATTCTTCAGAATCAATTCTAAAGCATGCAAATTAAGTACATCTGCTCAGCTCTACATAAAACACAGGTAATATAATCAACAGAATGAACACTTAGAATTTTACATTCTAAACTATGCAACAAAAGGAAAGAGAGTGCATTTCTCATTTCCGTCTTACACAAGTTAATGTTCTGTGACTAAAGGAAGCTGTTACCTTCCTCCCAGTTCTTCAATTTGATTTCACAGCAAACTAATGGTGCTCCCACTCGGCCGGTATTGTAGTCCCACACTAAGAGGAAAACGTATTTGAAGACTAGTTAATCAACTGCTTCCTTTTCCTAAGTGATTTAAAATGACAATTTATCCTAAACCTTAGATAGTCGCCCCCATCCCCAAGAGAATCCTCACAAACAGAAGCAAGCCACAGGATGCTTGCTCTGCTCAGCACAGGTACACTGCTTGGTCAGAACTTTTTTAAGACCTAAATTATTACTGAAACTGATTTCACTTGCTGTGTTTATGAAGCAGAGTTTGGAGTTTACTAAAGAAATTTTCAGAGTTTAAGCAAAAGAGTTACGAGAATGAGAGGCCCTCAGAAAGTGAAACACACCCAAGTACATGGGCATAGCCTTCTCTTAGAGGGTCACCTCTTACAACCATTGAAAAAAGAAGTTTCAAATGGTTTGGAGTCCTGTGAAATCAGTCATGCCTACTCTAAGTCCCCAGACTCTCTGCCCATCACACGCCCTCACATACAGACCTAGCTCACTCATGACTGGCTGCCTAGTTCATAGCTGGGAGTCCCTATCTTACAGGACAGTGGAGCACAACAGCTTATACCTGCTCTTCTTCCTTGTTAGGTCTTCAGCACTGTGACGCTGACGACCTGTCCCACCCATCTTTCCCCATATCACTATGTCAAGGCTGTGGTACCCCTGACATCATCTTCAGCTATCATACCCTACTTAAATTCATAGTTATGCTGAAAGCCAGAAGAAAACTGATGATAGCTCCCAAGATCTCGGAGCAAAACCCCAGAATGATGGATTATTAGTACACCGATTCCTCAACAAAGACCATTCAAATACCAGAAATAAAAGGTTGATATTTAACACATTAAGATTTATTTGTCACATGTGGTGGCTCACACCTGTAACCCCACCACTGAGGAGACTAAGATAAAAAGAATGCTATGGAACTGAAGCCCTGGGCTACTAAGTGAGAGCCTGGCTGAAAGAGAAATAAAGATTCAAAGAAGAAATTGCATATACATGCATTTGTGATTGATTCCTTGCAAACAAGGACTTGCAAATAGCTTTCAAAAATACAAAGACCAAACTAAGAGCAGGGAGATGAAGAAGTAATGCAAAGTAAGTAGAGTGGCCGGCCCGCTGAAGACTCACGACAAGCCCAAGAAATGCTCAGCTGACAAGTTCAGTGTCTGGCTGTATCTAGAAAATGAGGTAGAAGCGTCCATTTTTCCAGTACTGGGAAGCAGAACAGCTCTTCTATGAAGGGAGGCCCAGAGCATGCTGGGTCCACCTGAAGCACTGAGGGTAGTGGATTCCCTCCACACCGCTTACCACTTCACTGGGGTAAGCTGCAGCAGTCACAGCGTCTAGACCTGCCTCCAGTTTCTCTCTACACATATATAGTCCCATAAACACTTCTAAGTCTGAGCCTTGCTAACTAAATGACTAGAAAAAAGAAAAAAAAAAAAAAAACACTAGTCTATATAACTGCTGGGACAAAATAAATGCACAAAACAATGCTTCTTGGAAAACTTCTTTCCCAGAATATTCAATAGCGTATGACAATATATAGTACGAAAAGCTCTAGTAGATGAATTAACTACCACCTCATCCAATACATTCTAAAAATATCTATCAATAATTACAGTACCCAGAGTTAATCACAATTCTATTATTTAAAACCTTGAAAGCTCGATTATTCGTGTATTTTTACAAAATAATTCATACCAAATTGGGGGGCGGGGGGAAGCTATGCTGTACTCCAGCCTCTGACAAGCACACAGGGGACATCTCAGACTACAGCACCTACCTTCTGTAATCGTTCCAGCCCCAGTTGATTCCGTGAGTCCATACCCCTGGCCAACAGGACAGCAGAAACAGATATTCATGAATCGCTGTGTCTTTGCAGAAAGTGGAGCACCACCACACAATAAAAGACGAATATTTCCACCCAGCAGCTTTCGAACATTCCGGAAAACAAAGCTAAAAATATCAATAGAAAATTCTAAGACTTTTTAAAGCAGTGTGGTAATCTGAATGAAAACTGGCTGCACAAACTCAGATACTTGAATGTTTGGTTCCCCGCTGTTGGAACTGTCTAGGAAGGATTAGTACCATTCCCAGGTGGCTCCTCCACCTGCTGCCTTCGGATTAGGATGGGAGCTCTCGGCTACTGTCCCAGTGACCAGTTGGTGCCTGCCTGCCTGCTGCCGTGCTCCCTACTATGATGGCCATGGACTACACCCTCTCAAACTGTAAGCAAGCCCCAATTACATGCTTTCTTTTATAAACTGCCTTGGCCATGTGCCTTTACATACACAGAAAAGTAAGCCAACAGAATGAGATTTTCTAAATCTTTAATCTCTCAGTTTTGTTATATGGAGCTTTGGAGATTAAGTAATCAAAGTGATATAGTCAATTAAAGAGTTTATCTTGAGCCATTCTGTCTTAAATATCAATGGTACAAGCAGCAAAGAAAATGTCATTTCCTCTCAGTTATTTTGCATGTAATATTCAAATATAAAATTGACATATTTAAATGTTTATACTAATAGATTTTTTAATGATCAGAGAATTTGTTATGATAAATGCATTTATTACATCTTCAAATAATTTATTAAAAGGAGGTTAATTCTCTGCTTGCAGTTATTCATTAGAAATTTATGCTTTTTGTTTGTTTGGTTTTTTTTTTGAGACAGGATTTCTCTGTGAAGTTTTGGTGCATGTCCTGAATCTAGCTCTGTAGACCAGGCTGGCCTTGAACTCAGAGATCCACCTGGCTCTACCTCCCAAGTGCTGGGATTAAAGGCATGCGCCACCACCGCCCAGCTTATGCATATTTTCTACATAGCAATCTCTTTAAAACTCTAATACAAGCTTTGAAATAAACATTATAGCTTTTAAAATATGGCAAATTATCTGGGAGAAATTTTTAAAAGAAAGTATTTCAAATATCTATTTGATATGTTTCTGACCCACTCAAGTAAGAGGCGAGGCTAGAGGCTGGGAATGTAGCTTAGTGGTGGTGCTCCTTACCGAGAAGCACACCCTAGGGTAGGCTCCAAAGGCTATGGAAACTGATGTTTGTTAAACATTTTGAAAAGGATGTAGATATGTGGCAATCATTTTATTAGTTGAATTGAGCCAGGATGTGGTGGCATACACCTTAAGACTGATGCTCTGCCAAGTGAGCTATCCAGTCTCTTAACCTGAGCACTCAGAAGGGAGATCCTGTCTTCAAAAAGAAAAAAATGTGTTAGATTTTCCATTATCAACCTACATATCTTCCTAAAATATATAATGTAAGGCATCAGAAAACTATCTTTATATTCCCAATCCAAAAAAAAATTTAAACATATAGGCAGGTGGTGGTGGTGAATGCCTTTAATCCCAGCACTTGGGAGGCAGCAGCAGGCGGATCTCCGTGAGTTCAAGGCCAGCCTGGTCTACAGAGTGATTTCCAGGACAGCCAACCCTGTCTTGGAAAACAAACAAACAAACAAAAAACCTATTTTCACTTTATAATTTTCAAACTATTTAGTACTACTCTATTAACACTGTAAAAATATAGGTGAAGTGTATGGGTGACAATCTTTTAAAACTTTAAAAATAAAAGTTGATAATTTACAGCAATATGCATATCCAAATACATTATAAAATAGTGTTTTGAAACATGTCTTTAAAAATGTAAGTACAATATTAAACACAAAAAAATAATAACTGAAAATTTTCCAGTTCTTATGCAGGATGGATTGTTACAGTCCCTTTGACTTTTCAAATGAATTTCTTGCTACACAGCCCAAAATGGGTTGCTATGGAGCCCAGGCTAGTGTTGGACTTTTTTTAAGATCATGTGTGCCCACATAGAGGCCAGAAGGTGGCGCTGGAGTCCAGCTCTCGCACTCTCCCACCGTCCATCCTTTCTGCAGTAACACTGAATGACATGTGCAGCCCTCAGCCTTGGGCTCTAGATGCTCCTCCTCCCTCACTTCCCAAATTTCAGGTCTGTGCCACCACACCCATGCTAACGTATATTTACTACGTATTTAGGCCTCCTCACTTCCCTGGGCTGTCCAAGTGAACTGGCGTTAACAGAGAAGTGGCTTTACTCACCGGTCACACAGTGGAGTACTACAGCCTTTTGAAATCTGTTCCATCTTATAATTATAGGCCAAAATAAACAAGTTTCGTTGAAAACTACTCATTTCATTCACTTTATTCATGACATTTTTGTAGATCCGATCCATGATTTCCTAGATATATAAACAAGTTCATTAATTATATAAGCAATCTTCATATTTTAGGATTAATACTTCTAATTATCGTATATATGATGTAGGGCAGTTTTTGGGGTGCATGTGCCATGGTGTGTATGTAGAGGAGGTCAGAGGACAACTATACAGAGTTGGGTCTCCTCTTCCACCATTACGTGGGTTCTCGGAACTGAATTCAGGTCCTCAGATTGGTACAACAAGCACTTTACCCACTCGGCCACCTTACTGCCAAGATACTAAGCCATGTTAACGATACAGTCTATCAGAACTAAAAACTCTAAGTAAGCAGAGTCACAATTACCACTCCATCACCCGTGGCTGACAGACAGCACTTCTGGACGGCTCGGTACTGAACAGGCAGTTCTTACCGGAACAGCGGCCATCAGCGTTGGCTTCAACATGGATGTGTCTCCTTTGCTTCCTTTTTTTATTTTTGAAGACTACAAAACATAAAAAATAACCTATATAAAGACCTTTCACTTTAGTCAGGCGGTGGTGGTGCAAACATTTAACCCCAGCACAAGGGAGGCAGAGGCAGGTGGATCTCTGTGAGTTTAAGACCAGCATGATCTACAGAGTGAGTTCCAGGACAGCCAAGGCTACATAGAGAAAGCTTGTCTTGAAACCAAAAACAACAAAAAAACCTAACTTAAAAACTTGATGGCATTCTTAGCTCAAAAGCTAAGAATAAGATAAACTTATCCTTTCAATGTATTTATATTCTAAAAGGTCTATTTCAAAATAATTAACAAAGCCGGGCGGTGGTGGCACATGTCTTTAATCCCAGCACTTGGGAGGCAGAGGCAAGTGGATCTGTGAGTTTGAGGCCAGCCTGGTCTATAGAGCGAGTTCCAGAATGGGCTCCCAAAGCTACACAGAAACCTTGTCTCGAAAAACCAAATAATAATGATAATAATAATAATAATAATAATAATAATAATAATAAACAATATACTGTAAATGGATAGGAAAAGAAATGTTAAAAATATGTTTTAGTATACCAAATCACAAATACTTAACTTACCTGATCTGCTAAAGTCTGTGGTGAAGAGTAGCCGATTCGGCATCCATGAGAAAGACACACAAGCTCAGCACTTAATTCTAGAACATGGGCCAGGGGCAAATATCCAATGTATACATCTTCCTCTCTGAAAGAAAGGACAGATAAAAGCAACTGTGATGGAGTTCTCTGCACACAGCAGGCTTCCAGATACACAGAGGAACAGCTATGCACCCACCGAAGCTCCCTGCTGATAGGGTGCAGGTCAGACAGACAAAAAAAGAAAAAAAAAAACTACAGTTCAATCCAAAACCACAGAGGTAGGCACTTTCAGAATGTGGTCTCTCGCAGAAGCAAAGTGCTAAGGCAAAAGAAGAGCCTAGTGGGTCTTTTCAACTGCAGGATGTCACCACAGGAGATGCCCTTTTGAGATGGTGGGCACCTACTGGGACACTCATAGAACAGATGCCTGTTCCAGGAGATGGGTCCTTCGTATGCAAGACAGTATGTGCATTCGTCCAGTTTTCAAGAAATGGCCCTGCATCTACAACGTGAAGAGCAACTAAGGAAAGTCCACAGGGAAAGAGATGCTGCGTTTTCCAGCTCTATTCCCAAACTCAGTCCCACAGCTAAGTGCATGTGTCTAAATGTCTGTCTGTCTGTGCATAAGGGCAACAGAACAGCAGAGCAGTGTCCCAGCTCAGGCATCAGGACAGATTTCATCTCTGAAGTACGGTCTCAACTCCTCTCACCCCGTCTGGTTTCTTCGGTCATTTCTCTGCCCACTCCACTCCACTCCACTCCCAGAATCCAATCAGTTGACTATGAATACCTCTCTGCCCACCAGGACTGCACTTAACATATAAAAATGACTATGTACATCAGGAAGCAATACTACCTGACTGAAACAATTTAAATTTAGGGTATTTAAAACTACAAAGTCAGCTGAACTTTGCATGGTTAAAATATTCAACCACTGAACTATCACTTAAAATTACATGAATGTAACTACTTTGAGAGGCTGGAGAGATGGCTCAGGAGTTAACAACTCAGGGAACCTCAGTCTGGTTCTCAGCACCTCTGCTGGGCACTCACAGCTCCAGCTCCAAGGGGATCTGACACTCTGGCCTCTGCAGCTTCATGAGCAGGGATGGGGAGACACATGCACACACGTACACTTTAAAATAAACCTTTTTAAAAGTGTGACTCTTTAAATTACTATTCTCTAAAATGTCTACTTTCGTAGACACTTGGGGATACCGTGGCCATGTACTAAAATGGCACGAACATTTGTGCTCTAACAGCTGCAAATACAAAGTCACTCTGCATTTGACCGTGACATACATACCCCAGACTTGGAATCCTTCTCGCCATCCCAGTTATAGCAGCAATGATGTTGCTGTGGGAGATCATGACTCCCTTTGGGATTCCTGTAGACCCGCTTGTATACATGATTACTGCAATGTCTGAGGGCACTGGCTTGCTGTGAGCTTTGTTTTCTATATTGAAGAACAGAAAAACATACACTTCTGAGGAACTCAGCTACATCATCAACTTCCTTCTCACTCATTTATACAATTCAACCAAAATAAACAACAGTCAACACATAAGGAGGGATAAACAATACTGGGACACACATTTAAATGAACAGTAATGAGTAAATGCTGGCATTTTCCTTCAGTCTCTCTTTAAGGACTAGATAAAAGTACTTGTAGAAGATCCCATTTCTACAGTTGACAGTCTAGAAAGCTGATGTGTGATCTAACTCCAGGATCAAACCTTTGGTTGGTTCTAGAACAAGGGGAGCAGAGAACGCACACATGGAATGATGAGCACACAACGTACCCACGTTGGCCTTCACTCCGAGAGCCTGCACCGCAGCCATGGTGTGTACGATGACGCCCTTGGGGAACTCAGACCAGGTTGGAGGCTTCCCATCAACAGTTATGATATGCCGCAGACGTGGGACCAAAGAGACTATGTCCTGAAGAAACACCAACAGTCACCATCATGTGTTAACCAAGTTTGAGTGACTAGTTCAAAACGTGTGAGAGTAGCTACCACATGGAGTGACCAATTGACTTCCTGTCCCCAAAAAGTTAAGTGGTGGGACTGGGAAGGAAGGGATGGAGGGAGGAAGGATGGGAGAGAAGGAAGGAGGGGTGAGTAGGTAGAAAGGATGGAAGGGAGGAAGGTGGGGGGAGTACACTCACTGTCCTGTAGTATTATGTATACTCTGTTCTTTGATAAAATCCTTATGAACAACGTTACTACTCCACAAAATGAACATATAAACACAGAACACCAACTACATATAGGGAAGCCCATAGTCCCTCAAGAACATATGGGAGAAGGGAGAAAACACTTGTATATTTACTAAAAAAGAAAAACGAAAGAATGCCTGAGACGGTAATGTTTTCAGGGGAAATTGCCTAGAAATTACAAGAATCCTTTGCCTATTATTTCATAAAATGTCTCCCATTTTAGTACTTAAAATCTTCAAGCAAATCATTACTCAGTGATTCATAAATGAATTTAAAATATTCCGCGGTCTGGAGAGTGGTTTAGAGCACCCACCCATATAGCATCCTGTAACTGGTTCCAGGGAATCCAGCACCCGTCTCTGACCACCCTGTACACCTCTTGGCACCCCTTCCTCCAACCCTTTCTTCCCCTACTTCCTCTCTTCTCTCTCTCTCTCTCTCTCTCCCTACTTTCCCCTCCCTCTTGTTTTTCCTTTTGTCCTTCCTTCCTTCCTTCCTTCCTTTCTTTCAGGAGATAAGATCTCATGCCCCTTAGGTTGGCCTCAATTTTACTAAGTAACTGAGGATGACTTTGAACTACTAATCTTCCAACTTCCATCTCCCCATGTTGAGATTTTGTGTGCACCTGTGGATGCCTATGAACAATTCTGTGCTCTCCAAGCCTTCCCCCACAGGATGCTCTCGCCTGGAACATAACAAATATAAGCCTCAGGGATCCACCTATTCCACTCACACAGTGCTGGGATTGTGAGCAGATACCACCACACTTTTATTATAATCGAACTCAGGTCCTCGTGCTTACAAAGGCAAGCATTTCACTTGACCTACATGGTACATATACAGGAATGCAGGCAAAAAACATATCCACATAAAATATAAAATGCTGAGGGACCAGCAAGATGGTTCAGGAGGTAAGGCCTGACGATCTTCAACAAAACCCACAAGGAATCTCATGGTGAATGGAGGGAGAGTTGACTCCTATAGGTTATCTGTGGAGGACAAGAAGGCTTTGTGCACACAGATAAGCACTGGAGGAGCCAGGAAGGCTGAACACACAGCTCACCTTTTCAATGGAATGAGGTGCGCAGCTGCTCTTCCTGGAATGCCAGGAATGATGGAGTTTTACAACCTGGCAATCCTTTGCTGTCTGAGGAGACAGGCTCTGCCGGTATCTCCCAGACTTTATGTTTTTACTTGTCCAAGACCTTTCCCCTAAATCCTGAGCATTGTTTTTAGACCATAAACCCACTCTTAGGAGTGAGGTCATTTGTGCTTTACAAAAGCCTTAGTGACTTCTATGTTAACTTAGGCCAGGCCAATCTGGACACCCATAAGCATTATGCTTAGCTCAAACAAGCTCCCTAGACCCTAAATCTTGGGCACTATCTCTGAGTCAACAGTACCCACTCTTGTGAAAGAAGCCAGATGGACTTTGTAAGGAATCTCAATGTAAACATGTCTTAAATTGTTGTGCACTTGGGACTGAGTTATCTGAATACATTTTTTAAAAATTGTACTGTGATAAAGTAAAATGATCTGAGCCAGACTCTACAAGTCCTGGGCCAGCACCGGATACAATAAAATTGGGTTGAGCTGAATTTCATTCTTGTCTCTTCATGGATTGCTTTTTTCCTTGCCTGCTATAAAGGCTGCAGGGGAATCACCACAGTTGTCCTCACTTTTCACAGGTGTGCCATGACACATATGCATGCACATGAGCACAGACACACAAATTCAAAAACTACAGACATTCAAAACTATTAACTTACTTAAATACACTATAAAACAAGCACAATAAAGTTGCTATCCTTTCAACAGACACTGGTATAGTTCACAGTTTTTAGCAACTTCCTAATTCTGTTCTAAATCCACTTTTATGTTCTAAAGAAAAGAACAAAACCTCCCAAAGATAACTGAGAATCAGTATGACTGGTCAAGGCAAGAGTCAAAGCGATTTCCACTTAGAGTTAACTGCAGTCCTCACCTTCAGCTTTGTCTGCAAGAGTTCTTTACTAGTAATGATGTTGGTCACCTCGGTCTCATTAAGTCCGTGAACAATGGCTGGCCCTCCCAGGGTAGCATACAGCGTAACAACTATGAGGAAAAGAACACAGGTCACACGTAAAAAAAGGCACACTTATCACATAGCAGCACCTCTGGAAGTGCACGTGAATCATAAAGGAGTGCTCTCACGCACAGCCCATGAGGAGAAACTACCATGGCTGTGGACATCACTCCTGTACTACTCAGTATCCTACCTACTCCCCTTCCTCTAACCTTCCCAAGGTCTCTAGTATTTTAAGTGAAGATTTAAGTGAAGTGACCTATGGCCACTTGAGTCTAATCAGGTGGTTCTCAACCTTCCTAATGCTGTGACCCTTTAATACAGTTCCTTGTGTTGTGGTGACCCCCCAACTATAACATTATTTTCATTGCTACTTCATAACTGTAATTTTGCTATTGTTATGAATCATAATGTTAGTATCTGTGTTTTCCAAAGGTCTTATGCAACCCATGAAAGGGCCATTCCACCCCCAACCCTCAAATGAGTTGAGACCCACATGTTGAGACCCACTAGACAAGCCAGTAAGACAGCACATTGAATGTCAGATTTTAAGTATCACGTGTCAACAAATAACACGAGCCAGGAGTAGTGGTGACACCTGTAATCCCAGCACTTGGGAGGAGAGACTGGAGGTCACCCTCCATTACTCAGTGAGTTTAATCCAGCTACATGAGACCCTGGCTCAAAAAAAAAAAAAAAAAAAAAAAGGAATTCATAAGCGGTATAGCTTATTCTACAGCTGAAAAAATCAAAACAAAACAAAAAATTAGTGTTTTTCATTTTTTTTTTTTTTTTTTACTTTCCGTATGACTGGAAAAGAAGTGAAAGGACAAACAATAAAGAAGTGTAAACTCGAAGCCGGGCGGTGGTGGCGCACGCCTTTAATCCCAGCACTCGGGAGGCAGAGGCAGGCGGATCTCTGTGAGTTCAAGGCCAGCCTGGTCTACAAAGTGAGTTCCAGGAAAGGCGCAAAGCTACAGAGAGACCCTGTCTTGAAAAACCAAAAAAAAAAAAAGTGTAAACTCGAACCTTGGAAACACAAAGGCAGTCCCTAGTTTACAAAGTGGAAGTCGCCTTGGTGTAGCAGTACACGTCTTTAATCCCAAGCAGGGTTCAGGGGTTCAAAGCCAGCTGGTCTCCAGGCCAGCTAGAGAACACAGTGACACCCGGTCTCAACTAAAGAAAGAAGAAAAGGGGGGACTGCGGGACAGGTGCCTCAGAGGTTAACTAAGAGCACTTGCTCTTCTTGCAGAAGACCCACGCTCAATTCCCAGCACCTACATGGTGGCTATCTCCAGTCCCAAGGGAATTCAGTGCTCTCTTCTGACCTCCATGAGCAACGCGTGTACCCATTGCATAAAATAAAATAACTCTTAGAAAAGAAAAGAAAAACAGAGGAGTGCATAACAAGAAGTCTGCCGAAGCACTGTTTTTGTTTCCTGTTCATTTACCATGACTTTGGCACCCAGACTTCCCAACCGACCTTCCAGGACTGCTTTGCAGGGCTAGCCACCATGATCACCATGAAAAACTTCAGCCATACTAAGATTCTTCACCATGTAACCTAGCGCTTGGAAGTCCACCAAGTTATGACAGGGATGTACTCTAGGGGTTAACTGTAGCTACTAGCAGAAGTGGATTAACAAAACGGCAGTAGGTCCAAAAAGGTCCCTAAGGGATGGTAACCAAGAAAGGACCCTGTAAGTTAGGTCTAGTTTTCCAGATGCAGAAACCCCCCTTAACATCTGACCAGCAGGGTTTCTTCCCAAACTGATTCTTTTTTTCAAAATAGATGAATGAATGAATGAATGAGTATCTGAGTCCTAACAAACACCCCTCCACTAAGTAGATAAAAGAAAAAACTGGTATCAGAAAGTTAACCTCTCAAATATTACTTTAGGGCCAAGTGTGGTGGCAAACACCTCTACTCCCAGCACTTAGCAGGCAAACAGGTGGACCTCTGAGTTTGAGGTCAGCCTGGTGACCTCACAATGAGTTCCAGGACAGCCAAGGCTATGTAGAGACTCTGTCTCAAAAACAAAAGAACAAAAAAGAACCATTCTTTTAAAAAGTGTCGTCCATACGTACGCTGGAAGTTATACATGAAACAGGCCTGTGCGGCAATCATCCACTCAGCCCTGGTCTCACAGAAGATGGCGATGTTGGTCTTTGGTTTCTGGCCCAACATCTGCAACCCATTTCCAAAGTCAAGGGCTCGAATGAAGACATCTTCATAGGAAAGCCAATTATAGTGCCCCAGAATAACCTGATAAAGCAAAGTATAAAACACAAATATCTTTTAACATGGCCAAAATACTATTTTACAGGAAGAAATTAGAGCAAATTTCAGACTTTATATAGCCAGAAAGTTATATGAATATAAAACATATTAGCTTCAAGTAAAGATGTATCTCTAAAAAATAGCTTTGTGACATTGTCTACGACAACCCAAATCCCATGTTAGCGTTTAACTATGACAGAAGTGGGAGTTGGCTTTATTTCTGGTTTTCCAAATTATTCAGAATTGAGCTAAAACATCAGGATCTATATAGCTCAAGACCAGCAGAGTTATACAGTAAGGCACTATTTTATGCAGTGCGGCCTTATTTTAATGAACCATAAGACAAGCTGGTGTGGTGGCGCATGCCTGAAATCGACACTTCACAAGTGCAAGGATCGAGGTCACCATGAGTTGGGGATTATACAAGATGGAGGTAGGGGAGAACCCTGAACATGTTTGAAGGAATCACAAAGGTCAATTCCCTAGACAGATGGCCCTATACTAATAATTTGTTTAGAGAAAAATTTGACTTATTCTCTGCATGAGAATTTTTGGATTTCAAAAACAGATGGTATGTGATCTATAGCTAGAATGTGACCCTACTGTCCAAGTTCATAGAAATATTTATGGCCACTTAATTTGAATAATTATCCATCATGATAAAGTACAAAGTCTCTCTACAACTAAGTGGAGACTGAGTTATATTATTCACAGTCCCTCTGTTTAAACCTCCTATACTTAACCAGCCTGCAGTATTTTATTTGGATTTGTCAGAAGTGCAGGTTACCCAAGCTTACGTTAATAAGCTTCTTTTAAAGCTGGTTAACAAATTCCTGTCTTTAAGGATTTTCAACTTAAAGACAATCAATCAATCAGGATTTCCCCATTATATGTAAAAACTGAACAAAAAGCAAACTACAAATGCATACAGCTGGTTTCCAAGCATGGCTGTGCTAATCTGTGTCTCAAGCATCTTAAAAATCATCAGCACAGGGACTAGAGAGATAGCCCAGAGACTGCTTTTCCAGAGGACCCTGGCGTGAGTCCCTGGACCCACATGGCGGCTCACAAGCATCTGTAACTCCAGGTCCAGAGGATCCAATCAACACCCACTTCTGGCCTCCACAGGCCCTGGCACACAAGTAGTGCATAGTCATACATGCAGGCAAAAACACTCATACACATAAAATTAAAATTTAAAATCAAAACCATCTGAACACATTTATTTCTAAAAATGCAATGTTCCCTAAGAGGCTAGATCGATGAGGGAATAAATGGTGCCCTCTGGTGTTCTAGTCAGTATAGATGTAAGATTACACTTCTTTAACTGGAGCAGTCCCAAACTCTCACCTTGCTCTGCACCCCCAGGAAATGCTCAGCATGGGAGCTCCAATGACTTCAAAAGGAGCTCTGTGTGGGTGAGAAGACAGATGAGAATTTGGCTAAAATGTGCAGGAACCGGACTATAGTTACTAAGAACTATAAACTCCAAGATAAGAATGGGGCACCTGCCTAGATTCTAAACCTAAATGACCAGCTTTACCATTGTCTAAGAACGTGGAAAAGTCACTTAATATACAACCCAAATATATAAACTCATGTGATGATGCCACCATCTCACAAAGAAATGAAATTCTAGAATTTAATTCAAGTGCCCATGTCTATAATCCCAGTACTCAGCTGGCTGAAGGAAAGGATTGCCTTGAATCTTAGGCCAGCCCAGGCTACATAACGAAAATTCAGGCCACAAAGGAAGGAAGGAAGGAAGGAAGGAAGGAGGGAGGGAGGGAGGGAGGGAGGGAGGGAGGGAGAAAAGGAAAAGAAAAAAAAAAAAGAACTAACCGGGCCTAGCTGGCACCCACTTTTAATCCTAGCACCCAGGAGGCAGACGCAAGCAGATCTCTCTAAGGTCAAGACCAGCCTGGTCTACACTGAGTTCCAGAACAGTCAAGACTACATAGCAAAAACCTGTCAGGAAGGAAGGAAGGAAGGAAGGAGGGAGGGAGGGAGGGAGGGAGAGAGAGAGAGAAAGGAAAGAAAGAAGAAAGAAAGAAAGAAAGAAAGAAAGAGAGAGAGAGAGAGAGAGAGAGAGAGAAAGAAAGAAAGAAAGAAAGAAAGAAAGAAAGAAAGAAAGAAAGAAAGAAAGAAAGAAAGAAAGAAAGAAAGAAAGAAAGAAAGAAAGAAAGAAAGAAAGAAAGAAAGAAAGAAAGAAAAGAAATATAAGGGAAACCTGGGTTTCATTATTTAAGGCACTGAGTGTCCTAATTAATTATCTTTCTCACAAAGGTTACATTTGTGGACACTGTCTACCCATCCGTATCTGGCTCATCCTGCAGTTTCTAATCCTAACTGTTCCTATGGCTAACCCAAAACTAAACGCATTAATTTAACCCTCTGCCTATGCCATTAAACACTGCTGCAGAAGAACATGAACCTCACTAAATGCAGGACCACAGATTTCATCAGCCCACAGTCTAAGACACTTCCCCAGTTATTCATTTTCTCATCCTCTAATAATTGTAAGGTTTTTCTCTCTTTAAATACCCTCCCTCTAACTGGAAACAACAATCATTGTCGCCCACTTCACTAAACCATCAGAAATTAAACAGACACTCTTAAACCTTCTACCACCAAACTGAATAACCCACATACACCGGTACTCACATTCTGCAGTCCACATGGTTGGATGTCCCTGACAAAAGCCAGACTCCCACCGGGCGGTGGTGGCGCACGCCTTTAATCCCAGCACTCAGGAGGATCTCTGTGAGTTTGAGGCCAGCCTGGGCTACAGAGTGAGTTCCAGGAAAGGCGCAAAGCTACACAGAGAAACCCTGTCTCGAAAAACAAAAAAAACAAAACAAAAAAAGCCAGACTCCCAAGGACTGCTTCAAACAGCTCCTCAAATTCCCACCTCCACTACAGCCACCTGTTTTTACTTGTTCAACAAGGTATCTGACAGACAGACCAAACTCAGCAAGTCCCAAACCGAAAGTTCTCTCACTCGCCCCCTTTTCACTACTCAGCTCTACATTATTCCTATGTGCGCAGTAAGTTATTAGCCTTAACGTTCATCTTCAGTCTCATCTCTAAATCTATCCAGAGTCTATCAACTTATCTACAAATACAGCCTGATTTCTTTCATGTCCATTACTGTCACGCCAGGCCATCTTCTCCATAATTCACACCACCTTTTTTTTTATTAAGGAATTTTTTATTCATCTTACATACCAACCACAGATGCCCCTCTCTTCCCTCCTCCTGCCCCTCCAGCCTTCCCCTCCCACAATTCACACCACTCTTATCCCTACAAACACACAAGCAAGGTCCCTTACTTCAGACTGCAGGCTGCTTCCTTTCTAGTAGCACTGAGGCCCAGGACCGGAAGCTATAAGCCTCTGTGACCCTTGCAAACCCCTTTCCAAACTCACATATTAAAACTCAACCCCATCCTTTCTGTTCTTCAGAAATGCCAGAATAGGGGAAGAGGGTGCCCTCTCCGGGATCCTTAAATGATCCACCCCAAGTCCCTCACTCAGCTGAGCTCACTCTTATCTGGGACCCACTACTCTGTCTTCCTGCTCAGAAGGTTCTTTATCCAAGTTTGCTAGATCTTGTTCAGGTCTCATCTTAACTGCAACCTATTCAGGCAGGCATTCCTTAAATCACCCGTCTGCTTTTCTTTTCACACTATTGATGAGCTAAGACCCATGCCAAGATGAACCAGTGTGTCTTCTCGGTGCTAAGACACTCACTCAGTGATGATGCGCTCAGTGTGTGGAAGAAATACCTGGAGCCATAACCATGTTTGCTCTCATCCCCATTCAGTCCTGTTGCCATACATTTGCTCTACAACGCAAACAGGCTCAGGACTCCTGACAGTACAGTTCTCAGAGCCGCTTCCTCGTGGTAACCTCAGGTGAGCATTCTATCCTGGAGCTATAGATCCCCAGTCCTCGTGGTAACCTCATGTGAGCATTCTATCCTGGAGCTAGAGATCCCCAGTCCTCGTGGTAACCTCAGGTGAGCATTCTGTCATGGAGCTAGAGATCCCCAGTCCTCGTGGTAACCTCAGGTGAGCATTCTGTCATGGAGCTAGAGATCCCCAGTCCTCGTGGTAACCTCAGGTGAACGTTCTATCCTGGAGCTAGAGATCCCCAGTCCTCATGGTAACCTTGGGGGTCACTTGGTTCTTGCCCATTTGGCTATTTTTTATCCTGTCAAAGGAGTGACACACAATATCACTGTGTGTGTCATAATATCAATTATCACTCAAAGAATACTATCTAAAAAAGTATAACTTCCTGGAATGTAGAACCTTAGTATTTTAAAGCTGTTCCAGGAACATAAAAAATGCAATGCTTTTTGATGACTGTCTTGCACCTCAAAAGAAAAATAATAAATGGTGACAGCATACAGAAGTTATTAAAATCAAAGCACACCAACATTTAACCATTAGGACATCTGGTTGATGTGACAGTCTAATAGAAATCAAGATTTCAGACAGCTGATTCAAACCTCTTTTAAGAACGAGGTTGTTGGGTTTTCTCCTCATTCACTATCTAGAATAGAACTATTGCAGAATTACACATTTCCTGTCTTCTTTAACAAAGTATGCCTGGCTTTCTTTAACCTTCTCTTTGTGTTTTGGGCTTGTGTGATTTGGGACACGCAGTTAACAACAGGAAGTAGGGACAGCAACCATGAAAGGGAGATCCATAGGAGAGTGAAGAAAGAACATAGCCTCGATCCCAGGCCAAGAAAGCTACTACTTTTCATATGAACTATGATGTAAATGTCCCCACAACTCAGAAAGTGCAGGAGGGTAGTGTGGATTATACTCATTGTTAATAATAAAGCTGATTGGCTGATGGCTAGGCAGGAAGAGATTGGAGAACCAGACTAGGAGAATTCTGGGAAGAGCAAGGGTGGAGTCAGGGCAGACACCAGCCAGCGTCTGAGGAAACAAGGCATGTAAAAAATGAGGTAACAAGCCACGAACCACGTGGCAAAGCACAGATAAGAAATGCAGGTTAATTTAAATTAAGAAATAGCTAGGAATAAGCCTGTGCCGTCGGCAAAGCATTTATAAGCCTCCGAGTGATAATTTTGGAAGTGAGTGCAGAACAGTGTGGGACAGAGAAAAGCATCCGTTTACAGGAGGGGGCCATGTTTACACAGGGTTCTACTACTATTGTAGCCCTGGCTGGCCTGGAACCTCTGTCTATCCTCCTGCCTGTCTCTTTCCTGAGTGTTGTTGAATCATAGGCTTATTAGTAGTGTGAACCCAGCCGAAAGGGGAAAGACGGTCATTCTCCATATTTTTGTTTGGATTTATTTGGGGTGGGGGAACCACCTGAGGACTGAACCTAGAGTCTTGAGTATAACAGGCAACTAACTAACTGTTCTACTACTAAGCTGTAACTTCAGCATTTTTTTTTCTTTTTTGGTCCTTTGAGACAGGATATTGATATGTAGCCCAGGATGGTCTTGAATTCATAATCATCCTACCTGAGCCTTCAACTGCTAGGATCGCAAGCATATGTCACCCAACCCGACTTTCCAAAAGTAAGTATCATAATAAACAGAAATGATAAACACGTGACTCTGAAGAAAAAGACCACACAAAAGCCAGCACTGAGAAAAAACAAAAGAGGAAGCTAGATCAACTAACAAAGCATGCCTACTGACTTTCATGTTAACTGTCTGAAATTTTCTATAACCACTATTAACTACATTCTCTCTAATGTGTTTAGAATATGTATAAAACATCAAAAGTGTCTCATACTTAACAAAATAAGTATTGAAACAGTTTGTGTCTAATGTTTTAGTTCTTCAAGATTTCAGGCACACTTGTACCAGAAGAAGGCTCTGAAATCTAGCCATTCCCTGCCCTTCCTGTCTACAGGGCACTGGGCAATCCATTTGCTGCTGGGAAAGCTGCAAGCAGATTCCACGTAGTTTCTGTGCTACAGCTTTGTAAGCCCCATTCGGACAACTAAGACAACAAGTCAGTATTTCTGAAAAGGCTTGTCGGGCCTCAGAAACATGGCAGCTTCTACTCCAGGTTTGTGTTCCCCGTTTTCCATCTTGGTGAAGATGGTGGTCACTCTTTGTGGAGCATAAGATTGTCACCACTGCTGCTCCACCTTATCACAGCCCCAGAGCTTAGAACGATGGTTAGGGCACTAGGGAGACAACACTTTGAAGTTCATTATTCTCAAGAAGCCTGGGGCATAGAACACTTGCCTGGCATTCGTAAGGCCCTAGGTTCCATCTCGGACGGACACACGAATGGAGAGGGACACATACATATACACATATACACACACACACACACACACACACACACACACACACACACACACACACACAGAGAGAGAGAGAGAGAGTGAGTGGACTAATCTGAAATAAGGTTTGCATAACTTTGCTTTAACAATATTTTATTCTATGCTGCCACTTCTCAAAGTAAGGACTATGGTGATATTTTATTTGTACTGAAATGTGATTTTATTTGTATGTTAATAAATAAAGTTGCCTGGGGGTCAGAGCTAATAGCAAGCCATAGCAGAAGCTGGGTGGTGGGGGTACACGCCTTTAATCCCAGCACTTGGGAGGCAGAGCTAAGCAGATCTCTGTGTGTTCAAGGATACAGCCAGCATGGAGACACATGCCTTTAATCTCAATACCAACTATAGAAGACCTGGAGGTCTGTATAGATGGGCAGTGACGAGGAGGTCATGTGGTTGGGTTTACAACCAATGAGAAGGCAGAACAGAAAGTCTATAAGACAGACAGACACACAGGAAGTAGTGCTCTGGCTGAGGAGGACAGCAGCGGCAGTGAAGGGTAAGGTTTTTAGCTCTTAGCTATTGCTCTGACCTCCTGGGCTTTTTAACTCTGCAATCGGCTCTGTGTTTCTTATTAAAAAGATGGTTACATCTACAAAGGACACTTTTAGATATTAATACACATAAGCTCCTCAAATTGAAGGTTATCTTTAAATGTGGTAACTATTCTAATGAAAACAAGTCACCAAAAACAGGTCTTCTGTCTGCTGTGGTAGCCAGAGCAATGCAATCAGTCCCAGCGCCCTGCAAGTCCCAGGGAGGCAGGAGGATCAAGAGTTTGATACCAGCCTGGGCTGCATGAGACTCTAAAAATAAATGAAAGCCTTCTGCCAGCCCTCTGCTGTCTGTTCAGTAAGACTAACTTAAGCTATGTCACCCAATACCCTGCCGTGACAGATGCTGGTCCTGACACAACACAATGGGTGTGACAAGAACCCAGAGCACGTGGGTGCGTGCAGGGTAAGCTTGCTTAACTCAGTCTCTAGCTTGCAGCCCCCATTCCCACAGCTGCTACACATCAAGAGAAACACCAGTCTTGGCTAACTGACAGCAAAGCACACTCTAATACAGACAACAGACAGTATGTTTCACTTATTATATATACAAAACCTAAAAATTAATTCTAGGTCCCCAAAACAGCTGATTCTAGACAAGAAAAATATAATGTTTTTGTCCATCTATATATAACCTTAGAAAAAACTGATAAACCACAAATGCAAATTTAACAGCAAGTACTAATAATAGGCATATCTTCTGACAAAGAATTCAAGGCACAGACAGGCCTTTAATCCCAGCACTTTGTGGAGGTAGGAGGTAGGCAGATCTCTGAGTCTGAGAGCAGCCTGGTCTGCACAGTGTTCTAAGACCTAATTTATAAATAATAAATAAATAGGAAAATGACATCATAATTGTTTGGCTTTTTCCCTCCTCTCTGACAATCTGTAGTTAGTTACAAAAGCCTGCGTTCAAATCCCAGCTTTCCACTCAGGAGCTTTAGGGTCCTTGGTTCGTTAGTTAGCTAATTCATCCATGCTTCAATGTTCTGATCTTCCAAGTAGAGATGACATCATCTAACCCATAAGGTTACTTCCAGTTTTAAAACAACGTGATACTAATTAAAACACCTTGGCTCATAAACACTAATTCCACAGTCATTAAATAACTTTTCTAATGCCACAAGACTAGTAAGTGGCGAAACCAAAATTCAAACTTGCATTCTGGAGCCAAAGCCCAGGCTCTTAACCACACTATTTCTATCTGTAAAGACAGCTTGTTTCTGTTTCAAGCCAATGGCAGGCAAGATTCTCTGCAGTGGTTAAAAAAAAAAAAAAAAAAATGTAAGTCATACAATTGCTATAACCAAAGTACTAAGATATTAACACCCACTGTAATTTCCATGAAAAATCAAAACAAGTCACATGGTGCCAAGCACCCTAGAATAGGGTTCCCACCCCAAACTACCTAGCAGGTTTTGTTTTTGTTTGGTTGGTTTTTGGTTTTTCTTTTAATAATTTATTTAAATTTTTATGTACACTGGTGTGAAAGTGTCAGATCCCCTGGAACTGGAGTTACAGACAGTTGTGAGCTGCCATGTGGGTGCTGGGAACTGAACCCGGGTCCTCTGAAGGAACAGCCAAGTGCTCTTAACTGCTGAGCCATCATCTCTCCAGCCCCGTTTTTTGGTTTTTGGAGGTTTTCTCTATGTAGCTTTGGAGCCTTTCCTAGAGCTCACGCTGTAGCCCTACCTCTGCCTCTGGAGTGCTTGGATTAAAGGTGTGTGCCACCACCGCCCGGCTACTACCTAGGAGTTTTATCCTAACCCGAGGAGATGCCAGGTTCAGGAGCCCCACACCAGGGCACATTCTCCATATTTGACCATTTTGAAAAATATGGTCAAATCAGTAAACGTGAAGACAGAGGACTGAAAGCAGTCTATGGCCCTGGAGGGAGACTTTCTCCTACAACACCAGCAGGTTCCACCTGCAGGAGACTACACTTCCCACAATGCTAAGTGTACAAGGAGAGGAGGCCTGTGGGTACAAGTATGGAGGGGATTCAAGGCAGCAGAGATCATCTTACCTTTTTAAAAATTTTTCCATTTGGTTGAATTTCATCTTCCTCACTCAAAATTTCACGTGTTCCCAATAGCCTTTTGTCCTTAAATTTATCTTTTGCATATATAAAGACTTTATCAAGTGTATCGCAGCCAGGATACAATACTGAAGCCAAACTGTCCAAGCTGTTAGTAGATCTGTATGCAGAATCCGGTTTTGAATTGACAGGCTTTGCTTTAATTTTGTTTGATTTTTCTTGTCTTGACTCACACAAAAAGTAAAATGGAATGTATGTTAAAATAGTATAGAGTGATATTATAAAATGTATGAAATATAAAAGTATGGGGTTGATGGTTTGTTTTAGCTTCATGGTAGATGGTTTTGAAGATGCGTGGTTATTCATAAGTGTTCAAAAAATAGAATTAACAGATTTCAACAAGAATCTGGAAGGAAGAAAAAGAAATAGGTTACTTCAAGATCACTTTAGAAGAAAAACTCTTCAATATTAGCTAGGCAACTAGAATTGTCTTTGGTGAGTTAGTATACTGGCCCTCTGTTAATACTCTAAACTTAAGAAACTTAGTCTATTAACATTTTCCACATACTGGGAAAAGTAGCCTTTCCAACCTAACCTTACGTATCCACAAATACTTCAAGTAGTGAGGACAATGAGGAAGAGGAAAAGAAACCACAAATTTGCCCACCTCATGTTCTTATGTTACAGTAGCATCAGCCACTATAAATACAAACTGCGTATTTCCCAGTGAGCCCCATCAGTACTCTATGTAGTAGTAAGGAACTGGACTGGCAGACATGTACACTGAACTTTATTTTCCATGGCAGTTCAACATGTTGGTCAATTTTTGCAGATCAAATTATGAAGCGAGATGGTAAAGTATGCATGACCATTGTGTGTCTTTAGCATTCACCAATTTCCTGATCAACACTGGTGCAGCCATTATGGAAATCAGTATGGAGAATTCTCAAAAAGCTGAAAGATCTACCATATTACCCCAAAGGATTCAACATCCTACTCCACAAATACTTGCTCAGTATATCCACTGATGCTCTATTCACCATAATTAGAAAAAGAAAACAACCTAACTTCAACTGATGGATAATATGTGATACATATTCACAAGGGAATTTTATTCAGCTGTAAAGAAAAAAATCATAAAATTTCAGGTAAATGGATGGAACTAGAAAATATACTGAGCAGATAAGCTAGATCCAGAAAGAAAAACATCACATTTCTCTCTTAATTATGGATTTATGGATATCTGAATCTTTAGATAGGAGTATATAACCTGGAATAACCATAGAAACCAGAAATTAAAGAGACCATACTTAGGGAGGGGCATTTCTATGGCAGGGGGAAACAGTAGGACACAGGGGCTATAAAGGGAGAAATGGGGAAAACTGGAACGGGGGAGGGGGGATTACCTGGAAATGCAAAGGGAGGGAGAAAGGACAGACAAATCGCATTAAGGATGCTTGAAAGCCATAGGGAAACATTTTAGGTTTACTTATAAATATACTTATAATATATGTAATATAGTATGTGTATACAAATATACATACATACACATACTTTGAATGAAGTTATGCCACTTGAGGTGATAATGCCTTCCCCAAGAGCCATATACTACCTAACAACAACCCCAGTGCCAGGCAGGGGAAACTTTCAAGTTGGTCAGGAGAGCTGGAAAGACTCCCAACAAGAAAGGCTAGTATGGTTGCCTTTGGTAATCTCCCAGAACTTAGAGGCAAGACACTATTGCTAATACCACCACATACTTCAGACACAGGACTTAGAAGAATCAAGCTGGAACTGACCTGGAAACCCCCTCACTGAGGACTAGCTCTCACAGCATCTAAGGGTGCTATGCAAGCTGCCAAGTGAGAAAAGTAACCAGCAGTCCTACCCAGCTGTGATGGCCTATGAACCACAAGGACCAGCATGGCAATCTTCTCAAGGGTAAAGTAGTGACACAAACTTGGGATAACCACAACTGTCTAACTGAACGTTAAGGAATTCGGGCCTAGCTGTAACCCTAGCCAACTACCTGTGGTTTCAGGTTATGGACCCTGAAGGAGAACATACTACTGCCACTTTCCTAAACCAGTATAATTTCTAACTATATTCTAAATACTTAATTCTTGTACCCACAGATAAGTGTAGCTCTCTCTCTTCATCAAAAAAATTTCTTTTTGCTACAAATGGACTTCATTACAGAAATCCACAACTGGTTAAAATGCTGAGAACTGACTATGCAGTACCCAACCCCAACTGATACAACTATAATACAAGCCCTGCACCTAAGGCTCAGGGAACATCATGGAAGAGTGGACAGAAAGACTGTAGGAGCCTCTGGATACCATCTGTGAGATGCCTTCTAGACATGACAGGAAAACTGTCTTCAAAATATGGCAGCTCCTGTACAGTTTCAACAGCAACTGACATGCCAACTATGAAAACCTCACAAGACCCTACCCCTGGATGAAGAACTGCAGAAATGACTGCTGAGAAAGACAGAATCAGTCTTCTCCAGGGATGAGGTCCTTCATAGATTATCCAATCCCAAATGCCCAGTTCTAAACAAGTATATATGTGAGAAACACTAAATGTACTCAGCAGGCACTCTCCTTCCTCTCCCCCACCTCTCTGCCTGCCTCTCTCTCTCTCTCTCTCTCTCTCTCTCTCTCTCTCTCTCTCTCTCTCTCTCTCTCTGTTTATCTGTGTTTAATAATTGAAGAGAACATGGATTTGAGTGGGGGAACATGGTAGGCATTTTAAGAAGAGGAAAGGTGGAAATGATGTAAACATAATACTTGCATATAAATTCTCAAAACATTTATAGTAAGATGGGAGGGAGGGAGAGTCAGCCAGCCTAATTTACAGAATAAGAAAGATATCCAAGCCAGGCGATGGTGGTGCACGCCTTTAATCCCAGCACTCGGGAGACAGAGCCAGGCGGGTCTCTGTGAGTTCAAGGCCAGCTTGGGCTACAAAGTGAGTTCCAGGAAAGGCGCAAAGCTACACAGAGAAACCCTGTCTCCAAAAACCAAAAAAAAAAAAAAAAAAAAAAAAAGAAAGGAAGGAAGGAAGGAAGATATCCAAACCTGCTATATACCACTAGTGGGCAGCCAGAACTCTCCACTGAGCCTGGACTAGTCACCATTCCAGGCTAATGTTTGTTTTGTTGTTGACAATCATTGCACAGTATTATGAAGACCAGTCCAGAGAATATGGATTTTTGCCCTAAGGGGGACAGAGACTGTGTGGCACTAATAGCTTTTATAGGTAAGCGGTAGCATGAAAACAAATGGTCTTGGTGTTCCCAGAACATCAGAGTCTGAAAGAACAAAGATATCCTACTAACTCCAAAAAATGGTATTATCTAATGTGGTGGTTTGAGCAAGAATGCCCCCATGGGATCATGTATTTGAATTCTTAGTCACCAGGGACTAGAACTGTTTGAAAAGCTCAGAAAGACTACAAAGTGTGGCTTTGTAGTGGAGGAAGTATCACTGCGGTCCAGTCTTAGTCTCTCTCTCTCCCTCTCCCTCCCTCCTCGCTTCTCTGAGGATCAGGATGTAGCCCTCAGCTACTACTGCCCTAGTTCCAAGAGTGCGGCCATGCTCCTCACCATGATGAAAATGGATTAAACCACTGAAACTATAAGTAAGGCCACAAGTAAGTTGCCTTGGTCATAGTGTCTCTCTTTTACAGCAAGAACACTGACTAAGACATTCAGCTACTCTCTTTTAAACTTAATTTTACATCTTTTTAGTTCATTAAGAAGCTGGGTCCTGCTGGACGTGGTAGCGCTCACCTTTAATCCCCGCACTCGGGAGGCAGAGGCAGACAAACCTCTGTGAGTTCAAGGCTAGCCTGGTCTACTAAGTGAGTTCCAGGACAGGCACCAAAACTACACGGAGAAACACTGTCTTGAAAAACCAAAAAAAAAAAAAAAAAAGGTGGGTACTTCACTACCTCTGAGGTTTTCCTCAGTTATTTGCATTCGCCAAAACATATAGGAAAAAAAAGCATATAGGAACTTACTTATTTAGATGTCACATGACCTGCTGAGTACTATTACTGGCAGTATTATTTTGATAACAGGTTAAAAAAAAACTTCAGAAGACTTGTTCCTTTGAGAACAATGGTAACAAGGATTTGGTTTAATGCTGGCTCCCATTACTCATCATGGAAATATGGTATGTCACTAATATCCTAAAGCTGTGAGGCTAAACAGACAATACCAAGTACCCCCAGAAAACTCCTCCTAGGAGCAAACAAGAAAACATGGGACCATCCCTACATACACTGCAAACTGCAATGCATCTGCTGCTAGGACTTGATTTCCACCCATCAAACGACCATTCCAATAGTCTCACTTGACAATAAGGACTTCTCACACACCTTGCTCAGTCTGAAAACACTGAAGTCTATTCAACTTCACTCCTAAGCACTAAAACTATGAAGCCAAATACCAGGATTAACTCTCAGCTTACTAAATGTCACCTAAATTGTGCTTCTATCTCTCATTTACAGAAAGTGGAGAATTCTCATATCATGAGGTCATTATGAGGATTAAGTCATTAACATATTTCAAGTCTGTTGCACGTTTCTCACGAGGTCATTTCAGCCACGTTTTCATCACCATCAATTTGTTTGCCACCCTTAAGCTTTTAGGTTCATACAGGAGTCTGAAGTCATGTGTCTACCCATGCTGTGCCTTATGACATGAAATAAATAGTAATCACAGAAAGTCACCCACTCATGTGAGAGCCAGCAACAGCCTCTGCAGCAGCAGCAGCAACACATTCTGTACAACTGAGGCAAGGGTCCCAGCCAGCCCCACATGCCCGGAAAGCAGATGGCCCAGAGCCTTGATGCCCAAAGGTGCCTTTCGCCAGCCCATTCTCAGCGGCAAATCTGGCTTGGTTTACAAAAATATAATTCCTAAGTATTTTCGACAGAAATTAGTACTATTCTGCTTTGAGCTCTCTCCATGAGCTTCAGTAAGTCAGTTACTCTAACTCAAGGCAGTCCTCCTGCCTCAGCCTGCTGAGAGATCTGTACATTCATCAGTTTCTGAAGAATGCAAGTGACCATGCCTGGTTACAAAATTTAATATACACTCACACACTAGTAATCTATCTTTCCCATGTCTAGTACTCCATGCTAAGTTAAACATCACTAGAGTTTATAGCACACAACTATGAAAACAAGTGCTGAGCACTACTTTCTAAACCTCACTACAATCCCACAAGAAGAAACGCATTTAGATAAATTTCCACACCAATTTTGACCAATTCTACTTACACAACCTCAACAATGTTCCTTTAAGAAGCTTCCTTAGGGCCCAGAGGAAGATACAGCAGTGTAACACGAATTGCTAACCGGTCTTATTAATAGAAAACCCGGAGCCAGATA